GGTGTTGAACGGCAATTTCGCACTCCTGACTAGGAAAAAGAGGAGGGGCATAGCCCAGAGAGGCCTCAAAAGGAGACAACCCAGTAGCGGAAGATGTGTGAGTATTGTGAGCATACTCCACCCAAACAAGTTGCCGGCTCCAGGAAGCAGGATCGTTCTCACAAACACATCGTAGGGCAGCCTCCAACTCCTGGTTACACTGTTCTGATTGACCATTAGATTGAGGGTGATAACTAGAAGTCAGACTAGCGGAGGCTCCCAAGGCGTCACAAAACGCCCACCAGACCTGGGAAGTAAACTGGGGCCCCCGGTCAGAAACCACATCGGAGGGGAGACCGTGAATTCTAAAAACATGCTGTACCAACAGGCGAGCAGTCTCCATGGCAGAGGGGAGTTTAGTGAGAGGGATGAAATGAGCAGCCTTAGAAAAGCGGTCAACCACAGTCAAAATCACCGTGTGGCTCGTAAATCCTGTCTCCCAGGTAACCAGAATCTGTGGAGAGAAGCACAACTACAACCCCTACAGAGGAAAGTAACTGCAGCACCAACATTTTCTGTATTAGTCATATATATTCTGAAGGTGAGGTTCTGCCTCAAGTGGAGGAGTTCAAGTATCTCAAGGTTTTGTTTTCGAGTGAGGGAAGAATGGAGCGTGAGATTGACAGACAGATTGGTGTAGCACCTGCAGTATTATGGACTCTGTGCCAGTCTGTTGCTGTGAAGAGAGAGCTGAGCTGTAAGACAAAGCTCTCCGTTTACCGGTCGATCTATGTTCCTCCCCTCTCCTCTGGTCATGAGCTCTGGATAGTGACTGAAAGAATGAGATCATGGATACAGGAGGTTGAAATTAGTTTCCTCTGCAGGGTAGCTGGACTCTCCCTTAGAGATAGGGTGAAAAGTTCAGTTTTCCGGAGAGACTGAGTGGAACCACTGCTGATCCACATCGAGAGGAGCCGGTTGAGGTGGTTCGGGCATCTGGTAAGGATGCTCCCTGGGTCCCTACGGAGGTGCTTCAGGCATGCCTGACTGGGAGGAGACCCTGGGGAAGACCCAGGGCACGCTGGAGAGACTATAGGCTCCCACATACTTGGGCGTACTGTTGTAGTATGTCAGGACAGCTTTTGCTGCGGACATCCTATTAATTAATTATTCTTAAGGCTAGTTCAAGCACAAGAATATTAATTGTTTAATTAACAACAGATTCTTTCTTTTTTTAGTTAAATTTCTGCCATGTGACCAAGATAACTTGAGAGTGGAGTGTATAATTAGTGATATGAGACGTCATTTATCTTTGACCCATCAGAATAAATGCGGTCATTTATTTAACAGAATCAAAATTTTACATCAAACATGTACACTTGATTTGCTGATCTGTTTCTGATTAATAAACTTAGCAAGTTCAAATAACAAGACAACAGAGGATTACTAATAGAGAATAATTCATCTCTGAAGGCATTGAGCTTGATTTGCTGGCGAAGAGGTTTAAAGAGAGGGAGTAAAGAAGTTTAGGAGGAAAGTTGTGGGGGTTGGTTGAAATATGTTGACCAGAAATGACACCGTTCATCCGACCTCAGCTCTGCCCTCGGTACACTTGGTGCGTGACAACTCGTTACCTTTGCAGAAGATAAATCAGCTCCGGTACAGAGGTCCATTTCAATGCTACCTTTCAGCGTCTCCGGTCAGGGTGGCTGAGAATCGTCTGAAGTAGTGACGAAATACTCCGTTCGACAGAATAAGAACTTCCTTAGAAGTGTAATGAAATAATACCTGTCTGATATTATCCATAATTTAAACGGATTCTTTCATTTTTCTGGACTGAGTACTATCGTGTTTTGAATATTAAATGTGGACGGAAACGTGTTTAAATTTCTGACTCACCAACAACAGTGAGCCGTTTATTTAAAACGATTTAAACACATCACACATTTACAATAATTGGCAGATTGATTACAATAACACAGCTTAATTAATGAGCTTTACAATGAGAAAATCATATGGCCATGATTTTCACTTGCAACTGAAATACAACAGACATTTCTGAGAATATCTGGATTAATTACTGGCAGATAGAAGAGTTTTAAAGATGGGAAATGCAGGAGTTTAAATGGAGAGAAAAGATGTGTGAGGGAAAATGTGTCGACGAAGAACGGCACCCTCCATTCGAACCCAGCTCTACCTCGGTACACTTCGGTAGTGAGGGACTCGTTACCTTGTAGAAGATGTCTCCACTGGTACGGAGTTCCATTTAACGCTACCTTTCCAGCGTCTCCGTAGGATAGCAGAAAAACGTCCGGAGTAGTGACGGTACTTCGTTCAACAGCACGCTCACCTTACGGGTGGACTCACATGAGCTGTGAGCCCGTCAGAGGTTCCACTCAGATGTGGAAGATTCCATAATCCCCACGAGACTAACTTCGGATCATGTCTGGAACTTCTTGTTCTCTCCAGCAACCTTTCTGTTCGGTTCTGCTCTCCGAACTGAACTGTTTGGAACTAGGAAGTGTCGACATTTAAAGAGTTCTGTTTCTGGTTCATTTGGGAAGTCCTGATTGGCTGAAAGAGCCAACAGGGGTGTGGTTTTAGTGACGTAAGAGGTCACTAGAAGTCAGAAAAACAGTGAGATGTTTTGGAACAGACAGAAAAATGTTTTTGGAACAGACAGAGAAATGTTTAGGCGAAATGACAGACAGCAGGTGCCAGCTCCTCTATTTCTGTCTGAGAGGATTTAAAAACATGACAGTTCGTTCCAATAAACTTGTTTGCGTTTGTCTCCGACTTTTGACCGACATCACAACTTGCTCATTTCAGACAGAAGATCAAGAAAATGAATAATTACTCTGTAACAGACATTAACTTGATTTCTACTTTGAATGAGGATTAAAAAATCATTAATACTGTTTCACAGTTGATTTAAAATGAGTAGTTCACTTCAACATTTAAAAATGATTTGAACTAAACACACTTTGATTATCAAGATATTGTAAAATAGTAATGATAATAAAAAAGAGAGTGTTCTTTCAATTGATCAGTGCAGGATACAATTAGAAAGTCTCTGGATGAGCTTAATTTGTATTTCTGGATACAAATCAATGAAATAACAGTTCCTGTTCCAGGAAGGCCCTCAGGGTCAGGACTTGACCTGAGGCTTAGTTCACTACAGAAGGAATCTTCATTAGAAGTTGTAGGGCGTTACGCCCGGGTGAGTTCACAGCGAGGCGTGCTGTGACACAGCTGAAATGGACGGACCCTTGGCTCATGGTCCAAAATCCATCAGCTATTAGAGTAGACTGTTAGACCTTAGCCTCATGTTATAGTCTGAAAGTTCCATTAAGACTGAAAGTTCCAGTCAGAACTGAAAGTTCCAGTAAGTGTTGACTTTTAAAGGGTATCCACTTCCTGTTACTTGGTACTTCCTGATTGGTTAGCACAACCAGCAGGGGTGGAGTTTTAGTGATGTCAGAGGGTTATTAGAAGTCACAGACAGCAGACATTTTTAAGAACGGTTAGTAACAGACAGGAAAATATTTAGAAGAAGTGAGAGACTCGCAGGCGCCAGTTCTTATTTACTGTCTGAGAGTTTTAAAACAAGGCACTTCGTTATCATAACTTGTTCTCTGACTTTTGACAGACATTACAACTCCCCTCCTCATTCAGACAGAAGTGTAAAATGCACAATTACTTTGTAAATAGACATTTAACTTGTATGATCTAAGTCTAATGAGGTTTAAAAATCATTAATACTGTTTCACAGTTAATTTAAATGAGTAGTTTACTTCAACATTAGAAATGGTATGAACTGAACACACTTTTGATTATCAAGATATTGTAAAATAGTAATGATAATATATAAAAAAAAAGAAGAGTGTTCTTTCAATTGATTAATTCAGGATACAATTAAATAGTCTCTTGATGAGATAATTTGTGTTCTGGATTCAAATCAATGAAATAACAGTTCCTGTCCCCTGAAGGTCTTCAGAGACAGTTTGATGTAGGAGGTCTAGTTCACTACACTGTGTACTCCATGAGCCGCACAGACTCTGTGCGCACTGTCCTCAGATGGTTGAGACTTCATACACAAGCATCCCCCCAATGGGCTGCAGCCCAGCTCTGCAGGCAAAAGGTGTTTATCTGCGAGACAAATTGAGGTTGTCGATTGGTCATTTGCTGACACACCTACTGTATTGATTGACGGTCGCAAAACAAAAAAAACGAGAGCTACCGGTGGCCCTGGGTTGAGGCAGCTGGCAGCCCAGGAGCAGTGGCAGCGGTGTTCTGTGTTTATTTGTTGTTAATAAGAAGTTCTGAAACATAAAACAAACGGGGAGCGCTGGCCCTGCAGCCCACACATTAGACCAGCCCACCAGGAAATCTTCAGACCCTTCCGCAGCCACGCCGGGCTGGGCCTGATTTTAATTTGTTCGTGACAAATTCCTTCATTGCTCAAAATTTCAGTCATGACATCAACGGACGAGGAGGAAGAGATCACTTGCCTCTTGGCAAAAAATCCAAAGAAAAGGCCATTAAACCATACCATGGATGAAGCGGAATTTAACCTCCTAGAACCTGGCATTCACATATGTTTTATACAAACAGCCTGTCGCCCGGTAGTTTACAGAGTACGCGTATGCGGTCGTAAAAATTTACCTTTGCGCAGACATGCCTAGAGGGCATCCACGTTGAGTCTAATCGGGTACGCACGGTCCTCCGCGGAGTGAAGTACGCCCAAGTATGTGGGGGGGCCTTGCATATCTCTGTTGGCCTGGGAATGTCTTGGGGTCCTCCCAGAAGAGCTGGAAGAGGTGACTGTGGAAAGAGATGTCTGGACGTCCCTGCTCAAGATGCTGCCCCTAAGACCTGAGTCCAGAACGATGGATGAATAGATGGATGGATGGATGGATGGATGGATGGATGGATGGATATCATTGTTACTAGAAGGCTGTGTGCGTCTGTCCACCCTCCTCTGTAATTGTCTGTCTCTCTGTCTCTGCTCGTGTCCTCAGGTGACTCCAAAAACAACTGTTTCTCTGCAGAGAGGGATGAGTATGGAGCTGACACCATGTCTGAGATCCACATCATCGGACGCGTCACCCTCAACTTGTGGAGGGTGATGAAGACCGAGGCAGGTGTCCCCGCATGGCGTCCACACTTACCACTCACTCTCTTCTGTGTTCCTTCAGTGTTTCAGGCTACATTTTGACAAGCATGCTCAGTTTAAACATCAAATGTTAAAACTAGAACATTCTGTTAATTCCTGCATCTGACGGGAAGTTCTTGTGAATTTCTGTAAGTACAGAGAAGCAGGAGGACCAGAGGAGCTCTTTTCAGATGCTTTCTGTTGTTCCTCCAGGTGACGCTGAACAACTACAGCTTTGAGAACGTGGCCTTCCATGTGCTGCATCAGCGCTTTCCTCTCTACAGCCCCCGCACGCTGTCCGACTGGTTTGACCACAGCACACATTTATACAGGTCAATGCTCAAAACCAACACGCCAAAAATAATTTGTACATGTTCAAACCCGTTGCTGCTCCTTCAGTGAGCATGTTGTGGTTTGTGATGTGCCTCTTACTGTAGGTGGAAGATGGTGGATCATTACGTCAGCCATCTGCACGGCACCATGCAGCTCCTGCAGCAGCTTGACATCATCGGCAGAACCAGCGAACTTGCCAGAGTCTTTGGAATACAGTTCCTTCATGTTTTGACTCGAGGATCACAGGTACACACATATTTATTACGTTATTCATGTCTGTAGCCTTACCCAGGCTAGGTCCAACTAGAGAAATGGTATTTCCTTTTTTTTTTTTTTTTGCTTTGAACTTTTTTTTTTAAGCTTTTTTTTTTTTTTTCACAATTGAACATATAACATTCCCCCGTCATTGAACATTAAAATAAAACAAACAAAAACAAAGAAACGCACAGCACAGGAATTACTTACAACTTTTTAAAAAATAGTCACAATAAATATACAAAAGCAATGAACCAAAATCCTCTGAAAGTCGCAATGAACCACCCATCAAGATGTCAGATAAACCTCCACACAGCGCCACCTTTGGTCAAAAAGATCAGTGGTCATTTGTAGAACTGATGTCATCTTTTCCATAATATATACTTGTTTAACCCTCCGTTTCCATTCAATTATTGTCGGGGGTTTCAAGTCTTTCCAATTTACAGTGATTAGTTTTTTTGCAACCAATAATAAAACATTTACTATATATCTCTGATTTGAGTTGAACTCTTCATTTAACATAACCCCCAGTATATAAAACAAAGGACCTGATAAGACCCGCCTCACATTCAGGAAATCCAGTTCATAGTTTGCAGCCAGCTACAACGTGAGAACTGAGTTAGCAGCACTGTGGCTAACAGCTAACAAACTTTTCATCTAAACATGTCACTGTGTGGAAGTATTTTACACTAAACACCACAAAACAAGACAGCAACGTGCACTGTCTGCAGAGCCACAGCGCCACATTAAACCACAGTAAAGTTAGTTTTACGATGGACGTTCGAGCTCCGTGCCTTCAGCGGGCGCTGCTCTTTGGTCAAACCGAAACAGGCGACTCGACACCGGCCAGCAGCGTCCACTCTGCCCTGCTCAGTCTGCCCGTCTCTGAGGAGGGACAGACTGAGCGGGGCTGCCCCAAATCAGACTGCCTGCTTCGGACTGAACAAGAAGAAGACATCGCTGAAACCACGGAGCTCTAATGTTTAACGAGAAGTTGATAAACTTCATAATTAATGATCAACCACTATCAGTTGTAGAAAACAAAGGATTTCACAGCTTGATACTTGCAGTCAAGATATAGTTTACCCTCCAGGAGATATTTATCAGTACAACAGTAAACAATCATAAAAAAACATATTTGAAAATTATATATATTAAAAACAAAAACAGCTACATTATAAAGTGATGTGAAATACTAAAAACAGGAACATGTCTGTTGGTTTATGCCATGAACTTGGCAGGTGTTTAAAGCCATTTAACATTTAATTTAATTTAATTCATTTATTCATTCATTTAAATGAAAATTTTTTTAAATCATCCAAAAGAAAACATTGAATGAAAAGAGTGCAGAAAGAAGAAAAAATTCTTATATCTGCCCCTTATAAAATATAAAACATCTTTAAACAATCACTTAAATTAATCACTTTAATATCCACTTTAAAACTAGGAATAAAAATAAACATGTTTTGTGTTAGAATTTAATTCTAACTTTAAAACTTATCCAACATTAATAAAACTTACCTCAAGTTGTCTTTTTGGACATGCATGCATATATTTGTACAAATTGTACTTGAGAGGAGATTATTACAGCCTCATATAAAATCAATGATGATCATGATATTGAACTGGATCGGTATCGGTCGATATTTAGTTTTAGGTATCGGGATCGGAAGTAAAAAAAAGTGGATCGGTGCATCCCTAGTATCTAAACATTGCAAAGTGCTGGTATTGATGTGCTTGGGTGTTTTATAAAAAGCAAGACATCATCTGGAAAGAGAGCAATTTTGTGGACCATTCCTTGTCCGTCTGTTTTTCCCTGAATCTGTATATTTTGGCGTTCAGCCTCCGCTAAAGGCTCCATGCTTAGAGCAAAGAGGACAGGTGACAGTGAATCCCCCTGTCTCACTCCTCTTCCCATTTCAAAAACACCTGAGCAGTGCCCGTTAACTCTTACTCTAGACCGAGGGTTTTTATATAAAAAAATTGAACCATTTAAGAAATCTCTTGGCAAAACCCATTTCAGTGAGGGTTCTAAGAACGTCCAGTCAACTCTGTCAAAAGCCTTTTCAGCGTCTAAACTAAGAAGCATAGCTGGTTCTTTATCTCTCGCCATTATTAACTGTAAATTTAAAGTTCTTCTCACATTATTTATACCTTGCCGGCCTGAAATAAATCCTGTCTGATAGGGCTTAATTAACGTTTTTATATATTTCTGTACTCTAGTTGCTAAAATGGAGGTTAATATCTTATAATCAACACACAGAAGGCTTATGGGACGATAACTAGAACATTGTATCGGGTCTTTTCCATCTTTATGTAATATTGTAATAATAGCTTCTGACCAAGTGTCAGGAGGATTTCCTGTATCTTGTACATAATTATAAAGTTAGCATAATATAGGTGAAAGGTCATCAACAAATGTTTTATAATATTCTCCTGCAAGCCCATCTGTTCCTGGTGACCTATTGTTTTTTAATTTACATATAGTTTCTCTAATTTCACTCCCTTTTATAGGTTCGATTAAACTAGATGCTTCTCCTTCAGTTAGTTTGTCCAACATAAGATTTGTAAAGAAATCTTGTATTTTTTCTGTTTTCAGTGCTGCTCCTGGCCCTGTCCATAATATTCTGCAAAACTATCTGAGATTGCTTTAGGGTTTGTTTCAATTTTATTTGTACTCAAAGTTTTTATTTTAGGAATTACACGACGAGCCTGTGCCTTTTTTCATTGAACAGCTAACAATCTGCTGGCTTTGTTTCCCATTCCATAATATTTTCTGTTCATAAATCTAAGGGCACCCTCTGCCTTATATGTTAATAAGTCGTCCAGCCTTGCTCGAGTGTCCTTTAATTCATTAAGTGTTTCTGGCCTTCCATGTTGTTTATGATCCTTTTCTAATCTTTTAATTTCTGATTCCAATTCCAGTTGTTTCTTTAGTTTTTCTTTTTTTAGTCTAGACCCTATAGAGATTAATTTTCCCCTTATTGTGGCCTTAGCTGCATCCCATAGCACTGCTGGTGAACCAGTACCATTATCATTCAGGTCAAAATACTCTGTTATCGCTGATCGTATCTCTGCTCGAATACAGACCTGTTAACATTGAGGTATTTATTCTCCAGTATTTAATGTGGTTTTCAGATTCCAGATGTAGGTTCAGAATTACTGGGCTATGATCAGAGATGGTCATTGTCTCAGATGTGCTATCTTTAAGAAGAGAATGAAGAAGAGATGAAGAAGTGTGCAGTGCTTTGCCTCACGGAAACGTGGATTACAAGTGAAACGCCGGACTCAGTCTTCCAGCTGGATGACAGACTTTTTTTTCGAGCGGACCGCTGCAGCGAGCTAACGGGGAAATCACGGGGGGGCGGAGTGTGCATTTACGTGAGTAAAAGTTGGTCCATGAACTGTACTGTTGTAAATAGCTCATGCTCGAAGGCTTTGGAGCAAATAACAGTGAAATGTCGGCCACATTATCTACCCCGAGAGTTCACAGTGACTTTTATCACAGTTGTTTACATTCCTCCGGACGCTAATGCTAATGAATCACTGCAGGAGCTACATGATATCATCAGCTCGCTGCAGAACAAACACCCCGAGGCTCTTTACGTTGTAGCCGGAGACTTTACCACGTGAATCTAAAGGACTGTCTCCCAAGCTTTAATCAGCATGTGACGATTCCAACACGTGGAGACCGCACGCTGGACCGTGTTTACACGAACGTAAAAGATGCATACAAAGCCGAACCCCGCCCCCACCTAGGACTGTCAGACCACATCTCAATCTTCCTGGCTCCTGCTTACATGCCCCCGCTGAGACGCTCCAGACCGGTACAAAAGAAAGTTAAATGTTGGATCCAGGACAGTGGCCCCATACTGAGAGATTGTTTTGATCGAACAGACTGGCAGGTTTTCAGAGAAGCTGCTGAAAATGGAGGTTCGCTTGATCTTGACCAATACACATCCTCAGTACTGGGTTACATTAGTACATGTACTGACACAGTCTCCACTATCAGAAATGTTAAAAGCTACCCAAACAGAAAACCTTGGCTGAATGCAGAGGTGCGTACCCTGCTGGAAGCCAGGAACACTGCCTTCAGGTCTGGAAACTCAGAGGAGCTGAGTAGGACAAGAAAAGAGCTGGTTGCTGGTATTAAGAGGGCCAAGGCCACATATGCAAAGAGGATCGAGGGTCAATTCATCTCACAAGACCCTCGGAGCATGTGGAGGGGCATTAAGTGCATAACAGATTATAAAGGAAGGAGTGAACAATG